TGATGAGAAATTTCTATGATGATCCAGCTCCTGATCTGCATATTGCGCATTTTTTTTTGCTGTTATCTAGTGTCCTGTATTAATGTAAGGTTCAAATATCTTTTCATTACTCTGTTTTTTCTCTTTTCATTTTTGCTTGTGAACATTGTTTCTTGAACCCCTTGCTGCAAAAGCAACGATGGACGTGTTCTCGTAGTGAATTTGTGTGACAGATTTGAAGGTCCTAATAAATAAGTATGCATTTCAATAAACGAAGCTTTGGCAACTTTGGATGTTCATATTATAAATAATGGTTGCAAAAACAATTTCTAGTTTTATATTTTTATTATTGTTAGTGAGCTAAACTTTGATGATCAATATATAACAAGTTTGGCTGGTGCTCTTAACATGTACAAATTGCAATTTATCTGAGGAGCTGGACCAGCTTAAATCATATATATGCTGTATATGCTCGTGAATTGGACTCAATTTTAGTGACCTTTCTGTTAAAAAGACCCAATCTCCCATATCTTAACTAGAGATTAGGCTCGAGTTGTATATGTTATACGGTGAGATAATGGTGTCGATACGAGCAGAGTAATGGGCGACAAAATTCTTCATATTAAACGCAAATTATATTGTCATGTATTTGTACTCGAGCTAAAATAATTGTCCTACAATTGACCTAGCTACTCAGTCTTAGATGTCAAACAAAACATGCTATTGAATTTAATATAAATTGTGGGATAACATATTTGAGGAAAGTTGGATGCAATATAACATGGGTATTTGAACCTTTTCGTTATTGAAGCACACATTCTCACTTTTATTACCCGTGCATGTCATTCCTTCTAAGACAAAAATGCGTCCCTCACTATAAATTATTACATCTCACAACTTAGACAGATCCTTCATCCTAAGCCCATTCATTATTTGATAATTACACAATTACAAATTCAAATGAAGAGAAAAATATATGCAATCAAGCCAATAAATAAATGAAACATCATTGGAGCACATGATGTGATGTGCTTTTGTAGTTTGTTATGCTTAATATTCCTATCAACTCATTAAGACAACAACTTTCCTATTTTTTCTAATGTTGTATATGTTGTTAGAATAGATTGTATAACAAACACAAGGATGGCTTCATATCCTTTCCCTATCTCTTCTCTATCATAACAATTTGTTTTAATTTTTATTAATATTATGACTAACTTTTGTTCGTTTTATATATTCATTTTCAGCATACTTCATTTTTATTGGAAGCCTAACAAATTTATCAATATTTCATCATTTCAAATAAAGTTCATGAACCAACAAGACATTTGTCTAGTGGTGTAAGACCCAATTTGATTATTAGGTTGACCAAAAAGTAAAGTGTTTGATTCATGTGAACGATACTTATTGTGAGGGACAGTTACACACCCCGAAAGAGATTAATTCTTTAACCCAAAAAATAAGAGGATCATCTTAGTATGCCTATTGATCACGTCCGGTGATTGGTTATTCTTACTCCGTTGAAATTTATATAAGTAAATTACCTGCTTCTTCCCTATATTTTGGATGACTACACCTTTTTTGGTTGACTACACAATTTTCATCATCAAAAGAAATTTTTTATTTTATATAAAAATATTATAACTAATTAACTCCAAAACATCTTATTAGTGAGATTTTTTTTGGTATAATAAAAGGTATATTTTATGTAATGAATTAATCTATTTTAGGGTGTGTGATATTCTTTCCGATAAGTATTGTCATCAGGAATTGAATCTTTGACATTTGACAATTCAGTTAGGTCTTATGTCACTAGACTAACATCTTGGAGATCTAGTTAGACCTTATACCATTAGATTAATGTATGTTGGTATGTAAAGATTAATAACATTTAAAGCATGTATGCTTATTTTATTAATTATGATTATACATGTATAATGGAAAAGTAGGATGGCGTGTATGAACTATTTTCTTAACAAATTCCGTACTTAACTCAGACGACATGTTGTGTCTAGTCTAGATTCAAAATCAAATTAAATGAATCTTAGCACATAAATCCAAATTAATCTTGATGATATATGTTGACTAAAAATGAAGGGAGAGGGAGTATAATCCATGCACTTGTTTCATCCAAATCAAGCACATCCTTCATAACCTTTTTCTGTCCTTGTCCATTACAAAAAAATATTGAAATTAATGTACTAATTTTTATTACCGGTAAACCATCGAGTCCATGTTTCATGCACATTTATGTTTTATAGTGGCTTATGAAAGCGAAATAACACTATGTCATGTCATATATTCTAAATAAAATATTGATATATAGTGTGAACTCTAATTCATGTTGAAATTGAGCTCTCTAGCTAATCAAACCACCAATAAGTTTTTCACCAACACGGCACTTGAAAAGGTTCTTATAAGTTATAACCTCACATTAGTCTTTGTATCATCATTTTCAGTTAGAAATCCTTATAATCAAACAACAACCATAACAACATAGATACTATTTCATTATATGGTGATTGAAGAGAGAGAGAGAGAGAGAGAGAGTGAACAATTAATCATGTAAATTTATTATTTAAAAATTAAATATAATTATTCTCTTGAGTACGACCCTTATTAACAAGGTAGCTCATTTTGTCATTATTGTGATCATTGTCACTATTATCATTATTATCTAATTTAATTGAGTTTAGTAGGAAGTCACATTTGGAGGGGCCTATGAGAATTCTAATCCTTTTAATAATGACAAGAGTGCAAATATGGATGACTCATTCATATTGAAGATAACCCCAAAATGTTCAAATTTCAGAAGGATAAGCCAACCCAATAATTTTGATTAAGAAAAGGGATATGTTCAAAATATGCAGCTTGTTCATCCATGAAAAGGAAGTGGAAGGTTGTAGGTACTAGGCACCAAACAAAAGAAAATATAGTTAATATAAAGATAGGTAGGTGACCTATACATTGGGCCTAGCTTATTATATATACATTGAAAATATGACCCAAACAACATGACAAACAGTGACATAATTAGCATCAACCAAACATATATGACTTTAGAAGTAGTGACTTATTTTTCAACATATTGTCCTACACTATTACCTACAAGTGAAACTCTTTAAATCAATCGAATATCCTTCCCCACTTTCCTAAAAAGAGGTGAATTTTCAACTTTCCAAACAAAGAAAACATGAAATTAAAGTAAGAGCTTCTTCTAATAAACTAGTTTCTTTCTTAGCATAGTGACCCTGAAAACTCAATAATATGTGTTTTTTTTTCTTTCAGAAAGCTCCACCGACTAAATAGACAGTGACAATTTTCATTAGGCTCCCTTTGTTTAAAAGTTACCATGCTTTACCTGAAATTAGTAAAAACTATAACCTGCTTCAACTTTATTAACTATAATAACACATGGTATCTTTTCAAATTGAATAGTACAAGATATTAAAAAAAAGACATCATATTATTACATACTAAATGTGATCAAAGATGTCAAAAAAGCCACAATTGACAAGATTTCAAATTGTCTTTAATTTATGGATGTTTGAGTAATAATATATGTAAAAGGGTTATTTAATTAGGTTGGAATAGAATGAAGGAAAAGTATCTTTAAGTTAGATAGTACGCAAAGGATCAAACAATAAAGTGGATTTTGATATATGATTACTCAAAATTGCAAAAGTAATTGGATAATTTGCTTTAGACACCATCAACCCTACCTTTTTTCACAGGAACAGTGAACATAGTTGTTGTCTGTTCATGCATGTAAAACAATGGTAGGGTCACGATTTAGTCCATTACACCCTGTTCACAATGATTGATATTTTTGCAAATTTAGTCTTAATTAGTGATTTGTTTTTTTGGGTCATATTTTTGTTTGGGATTTTCAATATTAAGAAATCACATTTGATTTTAAATGATCTTATTTCAGTTGAAAATATTATATTTGAGTATAAAGTCAAAGTTCACTATTGTGTTAAATTTAGACTATTTTTTAGATGAGTTCGGTTTTGGTAGTTGCAAAGGTAGGTTGGGACAGGTTAAAGTTGTATAAGGTTATGAGTATTTAAAATTACCCACCAACTAAGTCATCACATGGATAAGTCAATTATTTAAAAATACTCTTATTGGCACTAGTAGAAAAGCTAATTGCAGAGTAAACTTTGTGTAAAATCTAACTATGCATTGATATGGTTTTAAAAAAGACATTTGATTCTCATAATGATCTTTGCCAAGACATGAGCACTACGATAAGCACATGCAATATCATGCAGTAAAAAAGTAATCTCATATTACTAGAATTTCCTCTCAGAGCATTGCACAATAGGGTTTTTGTTGCAAACCATAATCATTGGCTAAGATCATTATGAGAAAAGTAATATGTGTTAACCAATCATTAATAATAACACAGTGACAACAAATTATCTGTCCTTTTTATGCACCAAAATTAAACTTTAATTTAAATATATTTCAATAGCTAAATTGAGTTTTTAGCTGAAAATTTGAGGTGTAAATTAATGTAGAGTACTCAGATAAGTATTGAGCACATGATGAGATGTACAGTGTGACATATTATTTGGTAGCACATGAGAGAATAATATAAGGTATAATTTAGTAGAAGAAAAACACACTTCCAAAATTGTGGTATATTAGATAGTAATCCCTTTAATGTATAATTGATATGGAGAAAATGAAAGTGAAAGATAACCATCTTGAATGTTCGATTATATATTCATTACTTTTGTTACGGTAATCTTAAGCATGAAGCCTGTGGAATAAGAACTTTAAAATAAGTATATTTGCATTGGAAAGTTAAGTTCACAACTTCTTCTTAAAGTATGAAATTCTTCTTTTTCCAATATGAAGTTATTTTTTTATGTTTCTTATCGTGGAAGTGATGCACACCTTTCACTTCTTCCTTTTCAAAATAATAATTTGATGCTCTAAGAAAATGGATGAATATATATATCTCATTCAAAATTACAATATTTTATCAACAACCAAACAATTATTTCACTGGATTCAATCATATCAGCATTAATACACTGAATCCAATTAGAAGAAGTCCAAGTTAAATGTCTTTGGGCGAGATTAGTATTAAGATTAATAAACTCCTGAGAAGTCTTCGTATTGTATATCTTTTAAAAACTTACAATTGTCTTTGATGCATACATGTAGGTGGTCATAAATAAAAGGTTAATATTGTATTAAAAATTTGACATTCAACATAAAACTTTTTTTCAAATATATTGTAATAATGTGTTATAACCTTATGGTCAAAATGAATATATGTTCTTAAGACACTTTACCCTAAATTTCGGGGAATGAAAAGGTGGGATAATGGGCACCATCTCATATCATATGCTTTCACTTTTCACTCACTGCTAATTTGTCTCCCTCAATTACCTAGCATGTTGAATGTTAGAAAACACACTGTTAATTACTACTTCCTAATAGGAATGACACTATAAATAGATAGAAACTAACCACTAGTTTGGTTCATCACATGCCACCAAAACGCTTTTTTTATGCTGTCTATTGAATACTTTTTCTAACAACCACAGTGACAAATTTAACGTTTGAGGAATAAATATAAGTAATTGTCAATCATTATAGGGAGTGAAGACTAAGATGTCATGAGTTAGTGCAACATCACTTATTCATTTGCTAATAGTGAAATTGCTCCTTTAATAGCAACAAAGATAGGATAGATAACTCAGATAAACCTTTTCCACAAAGGACAATGAGCACCGAAAATAACGGGTACTTGTCTATAATGTTAAAAAGGCATCAGTATTGATACTGAAAATCAGATTCAAACAGACAAACCAGACCTTATGAAAACAATATATGAGTACTAGTGTCCTGAAAATGGAGAGCCACCAGGTACTAAGTTAAGGACATGGTGGTCCATCAATTTCTCCCCAAGAAATACTGTTGAATGTGTGATCTTTCAAAACAAGATAACCCACTCATCATCATATTTTCACCATGCTAAGACATTAAGAAAAAGTAAGAAAAAAAACAATAAAATCATTCTGAGGTGAGAGTGAGACAGCTATATTTCTGATGTTTTATAACAAGGTAGCAACCTGGCCACAGTTTCTTTCAAACAGGAATGAAACCTTTTAATATAAACAAAAGAGATTTACAAAATATACTATAAAAGGGGAAAAAAGAGAGGTAGAATGGTAGAATGCAATTTTCCACCCTGAATTCATTTTTTTTAAATAAAAAATCACACATGATACATGTTTGACCCTAAAAACTGAATCTTTAACCAAGACAGTTTGCTTTTCTTTCTTGGTTTCTTGCACACGTAGAAAGGTGGAGTGGACACCACAATGTCTGTACTCTAGTGAGCAAAGTATCCCACAGATTTTCTACCTTTTTTACACTACTTGTCTTTTTCACCCAACTCCCTGAACTTCTTTTGTCCATCTTCAAAAGTAAAGCTGCTATATACTAATGTCTACTCTCTTTTTTCCTCTTCTTTTTCCCTTGCTCTTGCTTCTTGTTTTTGCCACCTATATCAATCCCCCCCTGCAAGAAACAAAAACTGTACATTACATCAAAACCTTACACATACAATTTGACAGAGATGTATGGATGATTTCGCAATTCACATGATGAAATTGTTTATGCTCCAAGAATAAGGACAGGAACAAAAGAATCAGAGGCTTAAAGATTAATTTGTAAAGCATGACAAATTATTGGACAAGAACTTCATACATGTATAAAGACATTCTTAAAACACATGAATGATCTTATTTTGATCTATAATACGTGTACAGTTTACACACATATCAAATATTAAGTGCATATGATAAAAAGTATTACCCCAAGAATCTTTTTAATTGGTTTTACCCCAAGGGTGTTATTATGAGCTCGTGTTGAATATTATTTTTTGGGGGGGTGGGGATGAAGGGGATAAGTGGGCAGTGACATATACTTGTGCTTTATAATTTATCTTTTAGAATAATTCTGCCTTGCCTTGTGAATTGTGATGGTGTCCCCGCCCCTATTATTGAATATAATAGCAGACCCCTTCTTTCTGAAAATCTGCTCAAAATTTCTTTACTTGGTCAAAATTATGCAATTAAAAGTTGATTTCCATATAATACACCAAAAACAGACTTATGAAAAGAACTTTCAATCAATTAAAGAGTAAAAATGTATTTATTTATTTGATGAAATCTCAGAAAAATGCATGTGGTCTGATAATAATCTACATCCAACTAGTGAATATTATAATTTCAACCAAATTACTTAAGTGCCCTTTGAATAGAAAAGGATGAATACCAAATAACCTATGTTTTACCATGAAGAGCAAAGGATGAATAACTCAATAGTCAACTACCACATAACATTTTATGTGGGATGAAACCAACCCCATAATATGAGAAGCAACTTTTGACGACTTGGTAAATGCTTTCAGGGATGCTCCACCATGATCTCATTATTTATGATTAAAATTCAAAATGCCATCTTGAGTTAGCATCTACCAAGTTCCAACCCTACCTGCCTTTCCCCTTTTGAAATAAATTGACCAGAATGCCCTTTCCCTATACTACCAATGAGTGTCGGTGGACAGACATCACCATTGTTCCTTCATCTATTTTTATCTTCTATATGACATATAACAACAAAGGATATGGTCATCTACATTGGACAGAGAAGAAGGGGACAACATAGACAAGTACATGCCCAAGGATACACAGACACTGACAAATTCAGCACTTGTTCCAGATAAATGATAATAATTCTTTGCTAGTCAATAAAATTCAACTGTAGTAATCTATCATGATTTTTTGTGTAGTATAAATTTCACAATAGCTGACATCCACAAGTTGGGATGTTGATGCAATTATACCCCACCTATTAAATTACCCATAGTATCACCAAAGATTGGCTGGACAACATAAAAGTAATTTTCAGAAATGAAGTAAAGCTCAATTGGTAAACACACTTTCAAAGTAGCTAAAGAAATGTCAAAACAGCAACCAAGAATATAACGGTTATATTGTCATACATCAAGGCAAAATGCTTGTGATATGATTAAATGGAACTATTATAAAATAATATTTTTCACAATAAATATCAAAGTCATTAAATATGTTGGGGCCATGTATGATTTTATTGATCAACCAAAAACATCTGAACAACATATCCACTTTTTATCTATCATTAATTAAATTAAGATGTCTTCTCCCTTGAAAATTTATTCAGGGGGGTCCACTAAAATGCTTTCTTTGAAGGATGTCTACAAATGATTGAGGGGGTAGCATAACACAACAAAACAACAAAGATTGGTTACCTTTTACTTTAGGTTGATTCTTCAATATTTGGTCATGGCTTCTAGGTCCTTTTTGGGGTAGGTTGCTTAAAAGCAACAGTGGGAGCTATTCTGCAGCTCCTCCTGTTATGCTCCTGAACAAGTTCTCCAGCAAACCAGTCAAGTTTCTCAAAATTTCTCTGCTCCCCAATCCTTTTCCCTCCAAATAGCATTGACTCTACATTCTCCTGGTTTAACATCTCCTCTGCTATTCCAATCAGCATCTTTACATTGCTAGGACTAGAATCTGTATCCACATTGGGGCCACATTGTCCCATAGTTGACCCATTTGCCTGTCATATATCACAATTGTATGTTTAGGCCATCCTTGAATTTGAAGTATAATGCTAGCAACTAGTAATATTTTTCAAGCTTAGAATTCATGGATTTAAGTATCAAGAAGAATTTAAATTATGTAAGGGCTAAAAGTTGCATCCTAGCATAATAAACTCATTCAAAAGGTAAAAAAGAAATTAAATGCAAAATAAGATGCACAATAACAGCATAAAAATTGAAGGGTGGGATTCATTATTAATCACAATTTAAAGCTACAACTTCTTGTGACCACAATATGGACTAATTTGGAATAGGCTTTATTAGTTTACCTGAACAGGTATATTAGCAACCACGGCATTAGTTAAGGGAAATGTTTCAATTGCACATCTCTTCAATACAAATGAGTGAAATGACAAAATGAAATTCAATGCTATGCAATAACAAATACTACCCTTTGAATGGATCCTACACTGAGAAAAGAAATTTATCCACTCCATTCTAATTGCTGGCCGTTTACACTTGGCATTCCATGCTATAATCAACCTACTACCAAAACCAAGGTTTCCAACTTTTCATACAAATTGTTACTGGAAAAGTGCATAACATTAATTACCAGCAACAGAGATATCCCATATTCCTTCTAACAGGTCCAAAACCAGCTATCCTACCCCATACCTATCAACTTGCTACATACAGACAAGGCAAAAGAAATCCCCTATGGAAACCCCACACTCCCTACCCTCCTGCTGGTGTGAAATTGACTCAAATTTAATACCCCTTAACGTTTATGGGATCAATAACAGCTGGGCACTCACAAACTCAATCAGTTACTTGAAACTAAAAACCAGAGAGTCATTCTCATAGCCAAATCCCTATTCTATTAAGACATATTTTAATTGACAATCTGACCAACAAAACAAATTTGACCCATACTCACCTGTCAGACAACCACAGAACACCACATTCTCTTGAGCCACCCAAAAAAACAAAACCTCCCTTGGTATTGCTTCCCTCGCCCTCATCCACACTCATATGCCACCCCATCAAAAGAATAAAATTTCAAACCCCTCCACAATAAATACCTAATATACTATCATATCTCTGATGAGATACAACATATTAATTCAATTATATAATATTTTATAATTCATCTTTCGTATCATGTGCGCATGAATTTAACATGATAGTAAAATTTCATGTAGAATTAAAAAAAATTAAACAAACCTGAATGCGAACATAATTGGAGCTGCGGCAATGCCTGAATGCCATGGCGACAGCCTGATCAACAACATCAGCCGAGCCATCGCCAGAGATTCGGGCAACAGGCCGGGCCCAGTCCTTGGCCTTCCAACGTCTGACCTGGTTGTAATCATATTTCACCTCCAACAGTTGACCCGTTCCAAGAGACAACACAAGCAAGTCCTCAACGCCCCGCACGAATGGAAACTCCTGCTTGTTGTGCAGCACGTGCGTGATTGCCGCCCCTGTCGGGTTGCTCATCGCCAAACCACCATCAACCGCTACGCAA